AAAATAATTTAATCGTAAAATTTTCAGAGTATTTGTCTGAATATTTCAAATACTGGTCGTCTGGAGAGAGAGAGAGAGAGAGAGAGAGAGAGACTGTAATAATGTTTTATAATTAACTCTAGTTAATTTTAATATAATTACTATTTCAGCCGGTTTTGAAACGACACACTATTCGCTTCTATGGTTATTATTATTGATGGCAAACAATAGGCAAATGCAGATTAGGCTCAGGGATGAGATCGAGTCGGTTATCGGCGACCGTATGGCCACTCATGAGGACAGAAATCGGTGCCATTATGTCAACGCATTCATTGCCGAAACATTGCGCTACCGGCCGGTGGCGCCCGGAGGTGTGCCCCATACGGCCATGTGCGACACACATCTAGGTATACCCCATAAATTGGGCATGCTTATTAATTGCTAATTTTTTATTTGGAGTTACAGTTTGCTTAATTTTATAGTTATATAAAGTAAAGTGAAATTTATATAAGTAAACTTATATAAAAGTCACAAACACTGAGACAGATGTTTTGTCTGTATAAATTGTTTTTTAACCAATATCAATTAATTTTGTGTGCCATAGACAAGCATTGGTTACCAAAGGGTACAGTCATAGTTGGCAATCTTTTGGCCAACAGCATGGATGCCAACCTATGGTCAAACCCTCATACGTTTGACCCTGATAGATTTTTGAACCAGGACGGCACACTCGTCGCGCACGTGCCGGGCTATGTGGCGTTTGGTGTCGGCCACAGGTCGTGTTTGGGCGAAAAGTTGGCCACCGCTGAGCTATTCCTAGTGGTCGCCCATCTTATAAAATACACGGCCGGACGTGTGTTTGCCTTAGAGACGGGCAAAGGTGATGGTAGTGCCGATCTTGAGATGGCCGCCGACCAGTTGGTCACCAGCCGACCCAAGCCGTACAAGATTATGCTTTTACCATGTGCTTAACTTAATTCAAAAGAGCTGTGTTAATTATTTTATGGTGGTTAATATGTGTGGATTTTGTGTATATTTATTTATTATACAAATTATGTGCATTGAGCAAAGTTATACAATTACTGTATTTGAACATTTTTATTTAATATTGTATAAATTCTCTCTCTCTCCCCTCTCTCCCCCTCCCTCTCTCTCTCTCTCTCTCACACACACTCACTCACTCACTCATTCACTCACATAAAAAATATACATATATCTAGTTTATTTTATATTGTGCAAAAATAAATTATTGTTTGATCTTGTCTTGTCTATTCATATGTGTGTGTGAGAGAGAGAGAGAGAGAGAGAGAGAGAGA